ACGGCTGCGTCCCGGGGCAGACTCTCCGGCTCACAACCCCGGCGGGGGAGATGCGCGCCCTCGACCCTCCTGTTCACCCTCCCACCTAGCTCCGCTGTGAACAGGCGGGCGCGAAGCTGCAAGTCGTCGTCCCTCCCGGCTGCGGCCCGGGCTCCGTCTTTAACGTCCGGCCGCCGCCCGGGCCGCCGCCGCCCTTTGCGCCGCCCGCTTTGCGTGCGCCTCCGGCGGCCCCTCCCTCGCTCGCCCCCGGCGGCGCGTGCGGGGCAGCAGGCGGCTTGGCGTCGCGTGGCGCGGGGGCGGCTGCAGGCGGCTGCAGCGGCGGGCTGAGCGGCCGGCCGCCGGCGGAGGGTGCTGCCCCCTCGGCCGCGGGCGAAGCGGAGGGGGCGGGCGGGACTGTGCCCGCGGCCGAGGCGCCTCAGCAGCGCGTCTCCACCACCCCTCCCAACACCCACACCTCACCACCAGCCGCGCCGCCGCCGCCTCTCAGGCCGAGGCGAAGTCGCGCCTCGCGTCAGTCAGCCGGCATGGCGCGCCCCCCGAGGACGGAGGCTTCGCAGCCGGGCAGCAGCACCCTCTCGCCCGCGCCCAATCTCCCGCAATCTCCCCCGCAATCTCCCCCGCAATCTCCCCGCGCAGGCAGCAGCTCGCTCTCGCCGCGGCGCTCAAGGCGGTGATGGGGGGCGGCGCGGGCTTCGCGGCCGAGGGAGGCGCGGGGCCGTCTCTCTCCTCGCTCGCCCCTCCCGGCCTGCACGGGCTGCAGGTGCCCCTCCCCTCCCCCACGGTACCGAACCCACCCATCCCCTACCCCACGATACCCGAACCCACCCACACCCTACCCACACGGTACCCGAACCCACCCACCCTCTACCCCCACGGTACCCGAACGCACCCACTCCCTACCCCCACGGTACCCGAACCCACCCTCCCGACCTGCACCCGCTGCAGTCGCTCCAGAACGTGTCCGCCACCCTCCCCTCTGACCCGACGCTGCAGCAGCTCCTGCGCGACGGGTTCGCGGGCGGCGCGGCGGCGGCCTTCTCGCCCGCCGCGGCGCTCGGCCTGGCGCCGCTGCCCGGCGCGGTGGGGGGTGTCGGCACGCTTGCCCAGCTGCAGGGCGCCTCCCGCAACTCGCACCAGTGGAGCCCCGAGGCGGAGATACAGCGGAGATACAGCGGAGATCGAGCGGAGATCGAGCGGAGATCGAGCGGAGAGAGGGATGTAGCGGAGAGGGAGAGGGAGATCTAGCGAAGATCTAGCGGAGGTCGATCGGAGATCTAGCGGCGGTGTAGCCTCTCGGAACTTTCTCGGAACCGTCCTTCAGGTGCTGCATGGGCCTTCCCTCGCCCAGGCTCGCTCCCCTCGCCTACCCCCACGGTACCCGAACCCCTACCCCACGGTACCCGAACCCCTCCCTCGCCCAGGCGCAGACCGGCGCGCCGATGGGCGGCGTGGAGGCCGTCGCAGCCGAGCCGGCCGCTGCCCTCGAGGCTAGCCGGATCGCTGCTGCCGCCGCCTTCAGCGCTGCCAGCGCGTTCAGCGCCGCGCCTGCCGGCATGGGAGGGCCGCCCGCAGCGGCGGTCACTGCAGCGCTGCAACTCGCGGCAAAAGACGGCACGCCAACCCTCCCCCCCTCTCCTTTCCTCCACTCTCTCTCCATCCACTCCTCCCTCCCTCCCTCCCTCCCTCCCTCTCTCCTTGCGTGCGGTGGGCCGTCGGGGCGGGCGTAGCTCGCGCTCGGAACCTTCTCGGAACTGTCCTGGCAGGCGTGGTCGCAAGCGTTGTCGGGACAGTCGAGGCAGAGAAAGCGGCCGCGGAGGAGGCGGAGCGGCAGGCGGCCGAGGCCGCGGCGGCCGAGGCTGCGGCGGCCGAGGCTGCGGCTGCGGCCGAGGTTGCGGCGGCAGCGGAGGCGGCAGCGGCAGAGCATGCGGCCGAGGCGGCGGCGGCGGAGAAGGCGGCGGCCGAAAAGGCGGCGGCTGAGGCGGCGGCGGCGGCCGCCGAGGCGGAGGCGGCTGCTGCTGCCGAGGCTGCGGCGGCCG